GACGGACACGAGAGCGGTTGCATAAGCCCGCTTTAATGCTTTTTTAAAAGCAGAAGGGCGGGCTAAAAAAGGAAATCAGTAGAGTTAGCTTGTGGTTGGTGCTTACCGTGATCATATCAAAGGTTCGCCTGGCAGCTTCATCAGAGGAGTTCGGCCTGTCCTTGAATGGGCCGGACCAGTCGTCCCGCAGCTGCAGCGCGAACTCGCAGTTCCAGCTGGACTGGTGCTTCATATGCCTCGGGTAGCCGGCAGAGATGTACAACGTGCGGGCGCGCTCCACCCGCTGCCTGAACTCTGCGAAACAGAGCGACAATGACCGGGCGAGGCGAGGCAGCGGCGGCTAGAGCCCTGCAACGAGCGAGCACTGAGAGCAAGCGCTCGCCTCTGTCGCCGACCGCGCCTCATAGCTCTGTTTGCTCGCAGCCGCCCTCGCTTTGCTCGCTCACGAGCTACCACCCGACGCGAGCAACGCGAGCAAATCTTGCTCTGTGCTAGCTCGTGCAGTGGCGGCGCGCGGTGCGACGGTGCGACACGCACGCTCGGCTGCTGCGTCGGACGCGGGCAGCGCCAGAAGTAGGGGGGCTGCCTTGCTCGCAGATAGCTCGTGAGCAAAGCTAAATCTGCGAGTGGGCCGGCACCGTCGAGAAAACGAAGTCGGAACGACAACAAGCCGCAACAAGCCATCAGCAGACATCAAACACCCGTGTCCGTGGTCGTTCCGCACTTGCCGTCACCAACGCCATCGACGAGCTCGTCCTCAAGTGAGTCCCCAGCCCAAGATGTCGTTGCCGAGTTGCTTGCCAAGCTGGAGTCGGGGGATTATATCACCATACCGAAGGTCCACATCGTTGTGGACAAGATCACGTCCTTGGAGGTGGGGACGGCCCAGTCCATCACGTGTAGTGCCGTGCTGGTGTACAATGGCAACAGCGGGCCGTCCTTCCTCAAGAAGCAGCACGACTCCTACTGCACCGCTCAGCTCGCCGCCGGGTCCAACACGCCGTACCGTCCCGTCCCGGTGGGCGTGTTTATCGACAAGGTGGCCGACACGTGCGCGCTCACCATGGGGGCGGTCGAGATGCTGACCAGCGACGCCGTGGTGGACATGGTGCAGACCGCGGTCGACATCGCTGCGCGGTGCAAGGGCCGTGTCGACGTGCGCGCGCTCATGCCGAGCCGCACCACCGTCATGGCGCACATCAACACCAGGGCCGACGAGGCGACGGTGGAGTTGGTGCCCCGTGTTCGAGCGGCGATCCGCGAGGGGAGGTGCCAGGGGTCGACGGACATGTGGACCGACGACAACACGAAGAACCACTTCATCGCGGTCACCGTCTCGTTCACTAACGAGAGAGGGGACGCGTCGGAGACCCATGACCTCACCACACCACTGCCAAGTTTCCCACCTCGGTGCAGGCTACCGGCGCCAACATCCGCGCGGTCATGGTCCAGAAACTTGAAAGCATCGGCATTCATGTTGAAGACTTCGAGAAAATCGAGTGGGTGACGGACCGTGGTGCCAACGTGAGGAAGGCGTTGGAGGACCTCCCGAGGTAAGTCGATCAATATTTGCCGAATTTAGGGTGTCGGGAAAAGGGTGATTTTCGAGGGGGGGGG